TGATATCCAGAATCTACAGAGAACTAAAACAGATTTACAAGAAAAAAACAAGCCCATTCAAAAGTGGGCAAAGGATATGAACAGACACTTTACAAAAGAAGACATACATTGATCTTCAACTTCCCAGCCTCTAGAATTGTGAGAAATAAATTTCTGCTCATTAAAAATTAGCCAGTCTATAGTATTCTGTTATGGCAGTACAAATGGACGAAGATGCTAGAGACAAACTGGTCAATGTCCTACAGGCAATAAAACTGTAGCCATTGGAGTTATTTTTCCCTTCTTTTTTTACAAGTTAGAAATGATCTCCCTTTCTAACAGACAAAAATCTACAAGTTAACATGTGATTTCACAGTCTCTGGGCCCTAATCAAAATAAAGTGAATATCAAACAAAGGTACTTTACCCTAGAGAATTAAATAATCCTTGGAAAGGCCAATTAGACAATGTTCTAATATAATAAAGGATGACACACATAGCTATGATTTGGGCTTGTTTCCAAGTAAATCATAATTTTTCTCAACAAGTGTAGGTCAGGTCCTAATCCTCTGTTTTCAAACTTTTTTCTCTTAGAATAACATAAAAATTTTCTATCACAGACTATAGAGTCTGTCTACATAATCTGGCCCTTAACCATCCCTTTGACTCTCTTTCTACTATCCTTATCAATCATTATGATCCTACCACACTTATGTTGCTGTTTGTCAAATGTTCAAGGTTCTCCTTCAGACCCTTTACTCTTTTCTCACTGCCTACTGTTATTATACTAGATTTAGCAATGGCTTATGCCTTCATATCATTCAGTTATTTGCTCCAAGCACAACTGTCTACCTATGCACCTGCCACATCTCTCTATCTCATCACTTTGTACTTTTCTTCATAGAGCTCATAGTATGACATGGTAGTATTTCTTAATGTGTCCATCTTAGTCCATTTTTATTGACCTCCTTTATTAGAATATTAAGGAATTTTTGCCTATTTTATTATTGAGGCTATCTCTGGTATTTTTAACAGTGCCTTTACATAAATAAGCACATACAAAATTTTTTGAATAATGGAAGTATATAAATACTAACATTATTTCAAAATGAAAATATAATCTTCTAAAAATAGTTTCTTATTTTATTAAAGAAAACAATTAAATAAGCACTTCCAAAAACTTATAGTAAAGCATGTATCAGATATGGGGCTCAAGACATGAAAAAACATTTTATTTTGGAGGGGAGGAGAAGGCAGCACATCTGCTCAGGGCCTAGAGACTGGACAGATCCATCATGAAATGGCAGAAAATAAAAGGCAGTTTACAGATGATGTGATATGAGCAGGTCCACATAGGTGGATTTTTGTCAACAAAGTGGATTGTCTGGCAATAGGTAGTTAATGGATATCATAAAGGGTGAACATAGCATAAGGATAATTGGAGGGCAGACCACTGTCATTCATTGATAGCTTGCTCTATATGAGGCTCTATATCAGCCACCTTACCTATGTCATCTCATTTAATCCCAATCAAAACCCTTTGAGGTAAGTAATATAAGACTTACTTTTAAATGAGACTACTGCCTCATTTCCTCAATTCAAATTGTATGAGGAGCTGGAAGCCTCATACAATTAGTAAGTGGCAAGGCCTACCTAAGGACATGAGTCAGAAGCTCATGCACTAATACTGATCTTTGCTGCTCCCCACTGCCTCCCCACACACAGACAGAGCAGGAGACAGATGCTCAAGTGGAAAGCTATAACATGAGTAATCCCACCTAAAGATTTCAGAAACAAAGGCACATGGGTGAGGATTCAATAGAAGAACTCAGTGAAACTGGGTGATTAAAAGAAAAAGGGTAAACTTGTTGCTACCAAAGTCATCAGGGCCAGGAAAAATGGCCAAATCATAGGAAATAAGAAAACAGGATCTTAAATTCTATGGAGAACAACATTTTTATGTTGTTAATCAAATAAACAACATAAGAGCTCAGTAACAAAAAGCAATGCATGATGTTAGATCAGAATCTTCTTGAGGTTAACATGCAATTGCAATTTAGAATTCCTGAAATCTCTCACAACCATAACGAAGAATGGCCCCTGGAGTAGATCATGGTATGACCCTACAAGTAGCAGAGAGATTATCTCAAAAAGAAAGAGGCCAAAAAGGGAGCTAGAGCAACTTTTATTTAAACTCAATTCATTGCAATGAATATTTATTGATCACCTACTCTTTTTTATATTTTTAATCGCATTTTAGGTTTTGGGGTACATGTGAAAAACATGCAAGATTGTTGCATAGGTACACACATGGCAGTGTGATTTGCTGCCTTCCTCCCCATCACCTATATCTGGCATTTCTCCCCATGCTCTCTCTCCCCAACTCCCCACCCCCAACTCTTCCTCCCCTATTTCCCCCCAACAGTCCCCAGTGTGTGATGCTCCCCTCCCTGTGTCCATGTATTCTCATCGTTCAACACCCACCTATGAGTGAGAACATGCGGTGTTTGATTTTCTGTTCTTGTGTCAGTTTGCTGAGAATGATGGTTTCCAGGTTCATCCATGTCCCTACAAAGGACACAAACTCATCATTTTTGATGGCTGCATAATATTCCATGGTGTATATGTGCCACATTTTCCCTGTCCAGTCTATCATCGATGGGCATTTGGGTTGGTTCCAGGTCTTTGCTATTGTAAACTGTGCTGCAGTGAACATTCGTGTTCATGTGTCCTTATAGTAGAACGATTTATAGTCCTTTGGATATATACCCAGTAGTAATGGGATTGCTGGGTCAAATGGAATTTCTATTTCTAGGTCCTTGAGGAATTGCCACACTGTCTTCCACAATGGTTAAACTAACACCAACAGTGTAAAAGTGTTCCTATTTCTCCACATCCTCTCCAGCATCTGTTGTCTCCAGATTTTTTAATGATCACCATTCTAACTGGAATGAGATGGTATCTCAATGTAGTTTTGATTTGCATTTCTCTAATGACTGGTGATGATGAGCATTTTTTCATATGTTTGTTGGCCTCATGTATGTCTTCTTTTGTACAGTGTCTGTTCATATCCTTCACCCACTTTTGAATGGGCTTGCTTTTTTTCTTGTAAATCTGTTTTAGTTCTCTGTCAATTCTGGATATCAGCCCTTCGTCAGATGGGTAGACTGCAAAAATTTTTTCCCATTCTGTTGGTTGCCAATTCACTCTAATGATTGTTTCTTTTGCTATGCAGAAGCTGTGGAGTATGAATAGGTCCCATTTGTCTATTTTGGCTTTTGTTGCCAATGCTTTTGGTGTTTTGGTCATGAAGCCTTTGACTACTCCTATGTCCTGAATGGTCTTGCCTAGATTTTCTTCTAGGGTTTTTATGGTGCCAGGTCTATGTTTAAGTCTTTAATCCATCTGGAGTTAATTTTAGTGTAAGGTGTCAGGAAGGGGTCCAGTTTCTGCTTTCAGTACATGGCTAGCCAGTTTCCCAACCATTTATTAAACAAGGAATCCTTTACCCATTGCTTGTTTTTGTCAGGTCTGTCAAAGATCGGATGACTGTAGGTGTGTTGTGTTGCCTCCGAGGCCTCTGTTCTGTTTCATTTGTCTATATCTCTGTTTTGGTACCAGTACCATGCTGTTTTGATTACTGTAGCCTTGTAGTATGGTTTGAAGTTCAGTAGCGTGATGCCTCCCACTTTGTTCTTTTTGCTTAGAATTGACTTGGCTATGCGGGCTCTCTTTTGGTTCCATATGAAGTTTAAGGTGGTTTTATTCCAGTTCAGTGAAGAAGATCATTGGCAGCTTGATGGGGATAGCTTTGAATCTGTAAATTACTTTGGGCAGTATGGTCATTTTCATGACATTGATTCTTCCTAACCATGAACACGGAATGTTACTCCATCTGTTTGTGTCCTCTCTTATTTTGTTGAGCAGTGATTTGTAGTTCTTCTTGAAGAGGTCCTTTACGTTCCTAGTCGGTTGTATTCCTAGGTATTTTTTTTTTTTTGGTAGCAGTTGTGAATGGCAGTTCATTCTTGATTTGGCTGTCTTTAAGTCTGTTATTGGTGTATAGGAATGCTTGTGATTTTTGCACATTGATTTTGTATCCAGAGACTGCTGAAGTTGCTTATCAGTTTCAGGAGATTTGGGGCTAAGATGATGGGGTCTGCTAGACATACAATCATGTCATCTGCAAATAGAGACAATTTGACTTCCTCCTTTCCTATTTGAATACCCTTTGTTTCTTTTTCTTGCCTGATTGCTCTGGCTAGAACATCCAGTACTATATTGACTAGAAGTGGTGAGAGATGGCATCCTTGTCTAGTGCCAGGTTTCAAAAGGAATGCTGCCAGTTTTTGCCTATTCAGTATGATATTTGCTGTTGGTTTGTCATAAATATCTTTTATTATTTTGAGATACGTTCCATCAATACCTAGTTTATTGAGGGTTTTTAGCATAAAGGGCTGTACAGAATACTATGTTAGATCTGACAGTACCAAAAGGTAAAAACTATCTCCTCTGAGTCCTTTGACCACAGCAAAGCTTTGAACTTGAAGAGCACAGCATTTAATAACTGCATTGCCTATTTTCAATTCATACACTGGAAATGAAAGGTAATCTTTTTACTACAATTTCATGTTTCACAAAGGCAACTATGTATTAAGTTCACAAATCACTTCCACACTACTAATTCCACAATTTTTCATTAACACTGAGTTATAGAAGACAACTGAATGTTAACCCAACATGGACTGCAGAGGAGAGAAGTTAATTCCGTTTGGATTAACACCAGAATTATTTCTCTTACTTAGATGCATACAGTTTTAAAAATAAAAATGGGAAAAATCTCTAACAACTCAGTCAGAAATGAAGTACAAACTCCCCCTTAAAAATAAAAGAGAAACAAAACTGAACCTCATTCTCATTTCTCTTAGAAGTTTAAGGGAAATAAAATGACAAAGCATTTAGTAAATTACATAAAAGGTGTTAAATACTGATTCATGGTATATTTATTTAAAATATCTGGTTTCACTTAAGACTTGACTTTTTTATTTGGCCATATAAGTTAGGTCATTTTTCAGGTTCTGCAGTTTTCCTGAGGAAAATTGCTAATGCCAAGACAGTGCTTATTGTTTGACAAGCAACACAATGACTGGTGTTCTACAGACTGAAGAAGAAATAACTGTTATTGCTTCCTCACACATGATGGTGTTCACAGGCTACTTTCATGTTAATTCTTTTCAGAGCACTTGTGTTGAGTAATGAAGGAAGATCAAGGGTTCCCTTTCATGACTACAAAGTTAATTACTGCAATCAGAGAGCATTTGCAGTCGTGGTTTGTACCAATGCTTATTAAGCCCTTAAAAGTAGTCATTTACTTGATTCTTGGACAAATCACATAAAATAAAGGAGTCCATAAATGTACTTCAATTACCTTCTTGATTTATTTATCCCTTTCTTTCCCAACTGAGGTTCATTAAACTGTAGGCAAGAAAAGATGATGAACTTGTGGTAGATTAAAAATAGAGAAGTTGTCATGGAAAATGATCTATTTCCTTTCTCCTATAAATAGACATAAGATTTTAGAAAGGTGTTCATTATGAAAAGAATATCTGATTTGATAGTTTTTTGAGCATATTTTTCTTCAATTCTGAAAATTCAAGTTATATAAGACCTAGAGAATTAAAATCCTTCTATAATGTTCAGTTTCAAATATATATTTCTTATGGTAACACCAACATAGGGTATAGGACAAAGAGGCCCAGAAGCTAGTCCTGCTGTCGTTTACCTAGCAACTTCATCTGCAACAGGTAAAAGTGGTCATCCACTCTATTAAGGCCAGGCATTAAAGAAGCGAAAGCTGAGCTTTGGTGTCCAATACCGCATGCCTTCGAATCATGAACTCCCAATTAACTTTTTTTTTTTTTTTTTTTTGAGATGGAGTTTCACTCTTGTTACCCAGTCTGGAGTGCAATGGCACGATCTCGGCTCACCGCAATCTCTGCCTCCTGGGTTCAGGCAATTCTCCCGCCTCAGCCTCCTGAGCAGCTGGGATTACAGGCACGCACCACCGTGCCCAGCTATTTTTTGGTAATTTTAGTAGAGACGGGGTTTCACCATGTTGACCAAGATGGTCTCGATCTGTTGACCTCGTGATCCACCCTTTCTATGAAACTGAAAGTAAGTGAATTTAAGCCTTCTAAACTTTAGTTTCCTCAACAGAAAAGAGAGTAACAATATCTACCTCAGATAACTATGAAGAATATTAAAAGAGATAACATAATTTTTCACACTTACTAGGTGTTTTTAAAGGGTGGTTCATTTCCCCTAGAACTCACAAATTCTGGACTTAAGGAAGATGTCATTTAGACAATGATGGTGCCTTTTTAAGCTGTAGAAAAGCAAAAATGGAACTCCTCAGAGAAGCAATGATATCACTCATGAATAAAACTTTTCATCTAAAAATGTACTGTCTAGAAAAGGTAGTTTACCTTAGCTTTTACTGATAACCAACCAGTTGGAGTAGTTCACTTTGTTTCCTGTCAAAGCTGGCTAACCAATTCTTTTTTTCAAGTACAATTTCCACTGTATTTTTCTCCAGAGAATAGTTATCTTCAATCTTTTACTCAGCTCCTTACATGGGTTTTGGTGGGGGTCGTGGGGCAGCACCTGCAGGTCTAAATCGGGGTGGGAGTGTTCGGTCCTTGCGGGTTTCACGAGATCGATTCCTGACTACTTTGCTGTGAATTGCACAACTGACACAGTAACGTACATTCACATAGAGCTTGGGAAGTACATAGGCATCAAAGACGCTCACTTCAGAAATATCCCTGATTGCTGCGGCCTCCACTATGTTGGGAATGACGAATTTCTTAATGGCCTTGTCCTTGGGCACACATCGGGCAAAATTCATGCAGCAAATAGGCTGAACATGGCTGCAGCCCTTTTTAGCACAACCATTGTTTCTTCTTTTCTTTTTTTAAATTTTTTATTTTTAATTGCATTTTAGGTTTTGGGGTACATGTGCAGAACATGTAAGATAGTTGCATGTTCCTTCTTTTCTTTGTCATCTTGGAAGCTCGCAGCAGAGAAAGAAACCAATTCTTTCGGAAAGCACTTGCTGCTCTTCTGCAAGTTGACACCTCACTTTCTATTGCTTTCTAAACGTGTCTGTTTCCTTTGCACCAAAGAGCTCAGTCTGTGGAAGGCTGAATAATACCCCCGGTAAAAGACGTTCACCTCCTAATCCCCATAATCTCCAATTGTTACCTTGTCTGGCAAAAGAGACTTAGATATGATTAAATTAAGAAAGAGTGATGGAAGATTATCCTGCATTATCCAGGTGGGCTCATAGCAATTACAAGTTTCCTTATAAGAGAGACACAGGAAGGTCAGAGGGAGTGGAAACAATGTGACAGCAGTAACATAGATTGGGGGCATGTGGCCATAAGCTAAGGAATCCCAATAACCTCTAGAGGCTGGAAGAAAAATGAAACAGACTTTCCCCGAGAACCTCCAGAAAAGAGCACAGCCCTGCTGACACTGGTTTTAGCTCTGGACTTGTTTCAGACTTATGACCTCCAGAACTGTAAGAGAAAAGCTTCATAAAATAGTTTCTTATGCTACTAAACTTGTGGTAGTTTGTTAAAACTGCAATAGCATATTAATACACCACTACATTCTATGCTATTGATAGCTATTCTGTTTTAGAAAGGTGAAGAGTATTTTTTGCTTTTGGTTCTTCTGTAGTAATGGTAGTAGCAGTAATAGTGATAATGGTGGTGGTGGTGGCAGCCGCCCCTCTGTGTGTCAAACACTGGATTAGATGCCTTATCCACATTGTCTCATGTGCATACCCAAATCTGTGCTATGAGGAAACCTCTGTTAAACCCATTGTACAGATGAGACAACTAAGACCAAGATTCCCACCCAAAACTATCTGATGTCAAAGCCCAGTGTCTTAACCACTCTGCCATTTTGGCTCTTCTGACCATATCCCATCTTTTCTCCCTTGTTCTCAGATTCCTATCCTATCCGGGAATATGGAGGGTAAAAGATGGCTGTTTCTTATAGTTTCTTAAAAAGGAGTCTTTTTTTAATGAAAGAAGGCTTTGACCTGTAGGTATGTGTTAAAATAAATAAATAAAGCTATTAAGCAACTGCCTACATATAGAAAGAAAAGGGGAGTAGGAAAAAAGAAAAACAAACAGGGAAGGAATTAGAGATAAGAATTTCTGAAACCACACACCCAAATTCATTTTCTCCTCACATACATGGGCATTGAAAGTTGAGAATATCTTGAATAGAGGAAGAAAAGTAATGAAAATTATAGTATACAATTAAACATAAGCAAAAAAAGAAAAAGAAAGATACAAATGTACAGGGTTTATTTCAATTAAAAGACCAGCTTGACCCAAGGAGCAAATTAGGAAAGGATGGAAAATATTTATAATAATAAAGCAAGGTCAGTATTTGGAGAGGCTTGCCTGTCAGGGGGAGTTCAGACCTGGTTTGTCAGAGGATGTAAAAGCCTTTGTTCCTAAAGAAATAATTATGAAAAAATTGGCGAAGACTTTTTTTGAAACTATTGCTTCCCCACCACAACATTATCAATTTTCCTAGAAGTGTAAGTTTAGAATTTTAAAATGAAGATAATTTTCAGAACATATTGACATAATTCAATAACTATTCTAAATTTTTAAGTTTATAACCTAGAGGTAATAAATATTACTAATTTTGAAATGATTTCCCTGAAAAAATTGGAATTTGTTTGCAATCTTACTTTCACAGACTATTTACAGTGTACTACATATTTACTCAGCTCTAAGAGGCAAAAATTCCCTCCCTGGTATTCTAAAGCTCTTCTAAAATAGCTAACAAATCCATCTCTGGTGTAGGAAATGTTTGAAGACGAAAAAGCAAGGAACTGACCTGCTGACTTGAACTCTTTTAGCTACATTATCTCTGTCTTCTCATTAATCCTGAAAATTCTTTGGGGTAATATTTTTAATCTCCATTTTATAGATAAAGACTCTAAGACTCAGAAGACTTAAATAAATTGAGTGGTCTTACAGATATTAAATAGAAAAACAGTCTGAGCTAAAATGTTTTCTATTCATTGGCAAGGAATTAAACTGAAACAGACATTTTTAACAATAATATCCTCTTACCCACCCATTTTCTATAGCAGCAAACATTTCAATTACATGGGAGAAGCAATTGAACTGGGGTGTTTACCAAGATTTCAATGGTCTCACCTCTTTGAATCAAGTATTCCTTGACATTCTTATGACAAAGAACAACTGTGCCTATACCACAATCTACTGCTAATAGTCTAAGAGTAAAGGATCCCTCAAAGCACCCTTTAAGAGAAAGCATATGAAAAATGTCCCCTTCCTTTCCTCAACCCTTTTACCTGGTATAAAGACTCCCATGTCTAAAACATCTTGCTTTATATATATTTAATTTTAAATGCTTGGAACCCAATGCACAAATGCACAGTTTTCAAATTCAATTTTCTATTTTAAAACTGGAAAAAGTGAATGTCTGCAGATGTGTTAATATCTGATTAAGACAGAGAACAAAATGGGCTACCCATATAAATCTAAAAGCCCTTAAGAACACTTTCCCAGAAAGAGCAGCAGCCGCTGCCTCATCTGAGTGTCATAAGCCAGTTCCATTTCACATTCAATCCTGTCTGCCTCATGAAACCACGTGTCTTAGACAATTTGAGGTTTAGAAAAACATGGCCCCACTAAGAGGATGTATCTTTTCTAGGAAGTTGTTCAGTTTTGCACATGTGATGAAGCTATACTCCAGAGAGGGATGACTAGTAAATTTTCCACAAGCCTCTGAAGATCTTAAATCACATGCACAAAACCAGAGATAAAAAAATTATAGTTTAACCATAAAAAGGAAATATAAGGAGAGAAGCCATTAGACTGTTTCAGAAGAGAAAACCCTTGAGTTTATTAATTAGAAAAGATTAAAATTCAGAAAGAAAAAGTTCACTGAAATCAGGTTAGCTACCTTAATACAATAAAATCTCTCAATTTATTTGAACAACGAAGGTTAATGCCTATCAGCTTATATAGGAAATTGGAAACAATACCTATTGGCCTGAAATTTTCTCTGTCCACCCTTTATGAGTTATAAATCAATCCAGACACAGACTCTGGATGGCTCCTGCACTGTTTATTGTGGTAGTTAAATAACTTGACAATTATTATTCTTAATGGAAATTCCTAAAACACCACCTTCTTTCCTAACTTCATTGTATTTCCCATTGATGGACAAAACATACTGGTAAGAGCAATTAAACTTAACTCTGGTCATGAGAAGTAAGCAGATTTTCCTAAAAAGCACAGAATACCTACTAGTCATTGTACTATAGGGAACTTGTATTTTCTTCTTAAAATATTCTTTGGTTTTCCACATTTTGAACATGCCTTATTTATTCAATCACAAAAAGTTTTAGCATAAATCTAAATTATACTTTCTATCACATGCTGAAATAGAAAGCTAACAGGTCTCAGTACAGATTTTGTTCATCCAGAAATTAACAAAATGGTTTTGAAATAACTTGATCAAGAATAAAGTTTATCACACAGAAAAAGTTATGTATCATGAGATGAGAAGTAACTTTTCACAGAAGGTAAAGGGGAAATTAAAGGTCACACTTGTTATTATCATTATCCTTGCTCTGGAGTAAGAAAAATGTATTCATGTAAATTTGAGAATTTCGAGAGACCTTAGTGAATGTCTGTTCTACAAAGATCTTTGGTTAATGAATTATTAAGAGGGTAGGCAACAGTATAACCCACACTAGGCTTTACAGCATGCTCTTCTTAAACTTTGTGAATTTTCCACAGTCCAGAGGCTGGTATATTCCTCAGATATTACCAACACATTGAGAACAGATTCATCTGTCAGTGATATTGCCATTAACCAAGCTCATGAAACTGATATGTGAAAGTCGGAATTCCATTTTATTGATTTGTAATAAGAAATAATGGTCTTGGAGACAGGAATACCTAAATCTCCATAACTAGCCCAACTACTTATTTTAGTTGGATCTAAAGAGGAAACCAATGCATAATAAAAAATAATTTGAAAAGCATGAAATTAGAACTGAGAGTTAAAATTAAGAAAATTCATTAAAAGGCAGTTTTGCAACACTCTCCAAAAGCCCTTTGGTTTCTGTTAAAGCATTCACTATGGGACATTTCATTTCTGATTTTTAATTTGAGGTAAAAGGAGAGTCTACAATATTACTTTCAAATTCTCAGAAGAAGCCTCACATCAGTCCCCAACTATTAACCATGGTTTTATTTTTTTTCTCCCACTCTAATTAGCACTGTATTTTAATTAACAACCCTACACCTGTCTTGGAAAGTGTTTTCTACCTTCTTCAGCATGAGCAAAAATTGCCCCACACTATTTTGGTTTTGAAATAACTTGGTCAAGAAGAAAAACAGTGATCTTAGTTGCCTTAGTCAGACAGTTATCTTAGTTATGCCCCAATAAGTTGACACAGAACACACTTAAGGAAGCCAGAAAGTGAAATACTGTTCCATATCAGGATCCTATTCCTGATGTTTTACAGAGAATACCAGTCATTTATATAAAAATGCAATGTGGATGGGGTCAGTCACTCAAAATAAATTATTGTTTCTGCTTTCATATGTTCTACTTTGTGGCTGGAAAAAATAAATACTAATGTTCTGAGATAGACTCATAAGCATTCAACTTACGTTAATAGCATCAGTACCATTAACTTACCCTCTACTAATTTGAAACATATCATTTCAAACAGATTAATTGAAGTTCATTGTAATTTTAATGAAAGTCTAAATTTAAATATTCTACACTTTTAAATTTTCATAATCCCAAACATAATCCAAATTAGCAAGGCTCTACTGTTTAAACCACAACTGCATTCTGTCATCCAGAATTAAACTGGAAAACACAGAT